CCAGTTCAGAATGGAAACCACCTCACCTGGATTTTGGGGGGTGGGGAAAGGAAGTTGATGGAAGGTGGGATGAAACACTCCCTTCCCAAAGCCTGAATCAATTATTTTGGATTAAATGTAAGCATTTTCAGAGACTTGTCTTTAAAAATGGGGTGTATCATTCTCATGGGCCATTGTTGCCAAATTACTAAGGGAATGTTATCACACTGCTGAGGGCAGCCAAGCTGTTGCCCAAGACAGCAGCAAAACTTGGTGGGGGGTGGGGCAGGTGAAAAAAGGAGAGAACCCAGTCACCTTATCTTTAAAGTAAGCCCACCTACAAAACCATCCAAACATTGCTATGTATTTCCCTCACTTTGGTAGGAGGGGGAGTGATATTTGGTCTTTAGTCGGAAGCCACCTTTACTCTGTATTTTAGTCTATTCGTGTTGATGTGCCAAGTAAGGTATACAGATAGTGTCTCCTGCCTGCTGTATTGGCTGTACTCAACCTTACCTTTATGGAGGATTTCACAAAGACTTACAGAAAACTCCTCATCATCCCCCCACCCCATCAAAAGTCAACCCCACACCCCTTTTGACATCCTGCCTGGTACTTCATTGAGCCGGAATTCCAAACTGACATTATACTCCCCTTTCAACTCTACTATTCTATGATTCATTGATTCTATGTATTCTCCTTCAGCTAGACCGCAGGATAATAAATTGGGGAAAATACATAGCCATGTTTTCTAGAAAACCATGTGTCACTAGCAGCAAAAATGGCCACAGCAAATACAAGAACAAGCCCCAGTGAAGAAAATTTCCTCAGAAGAATGGAGGAAAGCACATCTGAAAAGCAGAGCTAACTTTAGGTAGTCAGATACATTTGTGTGTTTTGCATTCACTGGCTTATAGGGGTATTTCTTAAAAATCAGCAGACTCTGTAGAACTTCAAAGTTACTAGTAGCATTGTAAAGTGCAACATCATTCACTACTATTGCAGGAATACTGGTTTGTCATTAAAGTATAATCTTGTTTATAGCTAAAAAAGGGTTTGTTTGTTTTTTTAAAAATCAGCTTCCCAAACTTGGTACCCTGCTGTGGATGGCAACTCTGAACACTCCTGACCACTGGCCATGCATGTTGTGACTGATGAGAAGTTAGATCCAAAACATCTGGTTGGAAATGATACTTTAAATGAACGTTGATGGCTAGAAGAAGTTAAATGAACACCACTAGTTGGGGAACTGAGGAGCGTACAATGATATACCTGGTCCCCAGGTTAAGAATGAGTGTTTCTCCTGAGATCGTCTTTAAGTCAAGTTTGGATATAAGTCAGATCACTTATATAAAAAGCATATACAACACTTAAGAAACACTTCCACATTCACTAAAATATCTTAAACATAATACATCATTTTAATAATGATAATAATACAGTGACTACAGGTACTGAAGAGAGAGAGAGAGAGAGAGAATTTGTATGTATGTGTATAGGTATATAGTACAGTTCTTTTAAAAGTTAGATAGAAAAAATAGTTAAAAGATTATTAAAGGTCAACACTTTTTGAGCTAACGTTAAGTCTAATATTAACTGGATGATGATGGAGATGGGACTGATGTTGGAGAGAATGGATCTGGTACTGGAGAATCAGCATTTGATTGTGCTGCTGGGGGTGGGGTGGGGTTACTACTGGAGTTGCTTTCTTGAAATGGCCCTCAAGGGTTGTTTGTACAGCCATTTCCTTGTTTTCTAGTTCCCACTGACTACTTTCCCCCTCCTCCCTCCCTTTCCCTCCCTCTTTCCATTCCTCCTATATTATTGTTTCCTTCCTTCCTTCTTTCTTTCTTCTCACCACCCACAGGTGCTCACTTGCCACTCAAAAATGAGGTGAGGCTCCCAGGTTTGCTTATTCATAAGTAGGGGTTTTTCTTAACTCAGACATTCGTAACTGGGACTGGGTGTGCATAAATTTGAAATTCTTCTCAATTCTCCAAATCCTCTCTACACCACTTGAGTTTAGCAGAGCCGTATAACTCATGCCAGTTCCTTTTTAACTACCATCCCAATGTCCCATTCGACTTCCCAACCCTTAAAATGCTCAGTGAATGTGAGAGATTTTGGTTGCATATTTTAGTTTCCATCTCTGTGGTTTTGTAATTCTGATTTAGCTAGCCAGATCCCACCACAGATTGTACTTTATTATTTGTGAAAAGTCTGTAAACTTCAACTAGTTTTTTTTTTTTTTAAAGCTTTCATAGTTAACCTCTTCGGCTTAGACACACAAGTTGACTGTGATTTAATGGAAAGAACGGGACTCAAACCAGGCATCCTGTTGCAACACCATTCCTTGGTATCTATGGAGAACAGATAAGCTGTCACTGGAGTTATGAAACAGACAGCCACTACCTATTATTGGAGTCTGTAATAAAGAGACTTAAATCTCCAGTCCACTTTTAAGGGTTACCTGGCTGAAAACCACAAATTTTTTACAAAAGCTGTCATTTGCAAAGGACACAGAGAGACATCAGCTCACCTAAATTCATCAGCAAACATACCAGGCATTAATCGTGGCACTATTAACATTTTGCAGCAAGGACTCTGAATATATTGTAGAATACTGCAGTGAAAAGTTTCATTATAGGATCAGAATGGAACTGCCACCCCAGTTTTAAATCCCATTGTTTTAATCAGGTAAGTTAAACATGTAGTTACATCTCTCCTATTGACATAAATCAGACTTGAATTGCTTAATTTTGGCTGGATTCTTCTCTTGCATTCATATGTCATCTTGATCATATACATTACATCAGTAATTCTTATAGGATAGGCTAGTATTATCCTTTCCTCCATATTACACATGGAGGGCTCAAGGTAAATAAAGTGGTTTGCAGTGAGCTTATGGCTGAGATGAGCTTTGAACTAGGTACCTCAAGCTCATAACTCATGTTACATGGCCCATGACATTATACTATTTCTTAAGTAAACAGTTATGACTTGAGGAAGACATCAATTCTGCTTGATAAATCAGTGACTAAACTCCTGACTGAAATAAGGCAGTCAACAAATGTAAATCTTTATAGTATCACCAAGTCACTGCATTTCATTCATTGGGAAGCATGAACTGACACATAGGGTATCAGTGCAATGCTCCAATCTAGCAAGAGAATCACTGTGTTATGCTACATGGATTCATAATGTATGTCTCTACTCATATTAGGCCACAAAGAAACAGCTGGGTGTGCCTTGTCATGAGGATGTGATCTCCACCTGGAATCACATTGGAGCTAATTGTGCATGACCACAGCTGGATCAGGGCCTATAAGTACAAAAGAGGAACAAATAAGCATTTTGAAGTAGACATGGGATTTATTCACAGGTTAAGTGAGTCATTTGCTTAGAGAAATGAAACCCAGAAACCCAGAAAACTGTATATTGTAGCCTTTTAAGAATCTTGATGGCTTCTTCAATGGTCTAGCTAATATCCTACCAAAAAGTCATAGTTTGCACATGTGTGAATGAAAATGCTCAGTAGTACACAGATTTTAAGAGTGTGTGATATTTCAAAATGACTAGCGGAACAATACTATTGATTCTTAGCACTTTTGTTCCTTCGCAGTATTGAATGTGCCACATGTACAGCATTATATTGTTGTGGTCTTTACAACAACTATGTAAGGTAGGTCAGCATTATTAACCCCAGGTTGCAATGGAAAGCAGAGCATGAGGAGATGCCTGTCTGACAGCCAAAACAGGCAGAATGAATCCATTTAACATGTCTTTTCCCCTTTCACAACAGCTGAAAGGAGGATGGCCAACCACATAACTCTTCTCTCCAAATGGGATAAGCAGCTAACAGCATACTGGGAGGAGATTTTTCAGCAGACCATAGAGAGGCCTAGTTAAAAAGAGCTCCCAGTACCACAGTTCCCATCTACTGGCTTCCCGCAAACCCCACAACTGCTATTGTTAAAGGGAGGGAGAATAATATAGGATGTAGTGATGATTACCTACTTGGACTGCTTTTAAATCTAACTTTATAAATTCATGCACAAAGGTGTCAATGACTACTTGTTATGATAGTATATACTATCTCCAGCCTGGGAGATAGTATGGCTCTGTATACCAGCTGCTGGCAGGGTAAGAGGGCGTTTTTGTGGGCTTTTCACAGTCCTCTGGTTGGTCACTGAGCAAACATAATGCTGGATCACGTATGCCTTATGCTTTTATTTCATATTAAATGAATTCTTACAATTAATATTCTTGCCTATTAAATGCATTCTTGCATCTTGTTTTTAATATATTTAACATTAAAAATTAGTAGGCTTTATAGCTGAAGCAAAATTTAGCCCATGGATTTTGAGTTCACAACTCTTAGGCAGTATGGAATGTTGCTGTATAGAAAGGTCAAAGGCTATATCTAGACTAAGGTACTATTTTCAGCATCATCCTTAATTCTTCTCGAATCAGATCTCTCCCTTGCTTCAAGTAATATTGAGAAGTGATAAATACATGTGAAAACTATTCATGTTGAATGAATAGCCAGAAACTTTAACAACCAAAGCTTAAGAGTTAGCTGGAGATGAAGCACTTTGTGGTGCCAGGCATCTTTTTTGTAATTTTTTGCAGCAGATTTCTTGTTTACTCTAGGAGTAGCTGTTATTTTCCAATGGGTTCTATTTATATATTTGTAAATGTATCAAATACATAAAGACTGACAAAATAAACCAAACCACAGCATTACTCTACAACTTTTCACAGAGAGGTAAGAGTACAATAGTATATTGGGCCTCTTTTATTCTTTGTATCTTGCATATGCCAATCATTGTATCAATGGAATTTGTCGACGTTAGGAGTATAAGCAGAGTGGGATACTGTTTCAGTGTAAAGTACTGCAGAATCACATCACTTACATACTAAGAACTTGAAATAAGACTAGAAAGTAGTATTTATCCCTAAGGATGGAACACAGATTATCATAAACTGAAACAGATAAGTACTTTCCAGCATTTTCTTACCAAGAGGTGGTCCGTGTGTTATAAGAATATCTATTCCATCTGGAATTAGGTTCCATTTCTCTAACAGTGCTTGGCCTCGTGGAAGATTAAAGCCCCAGCCATAAAACCAAGGTTGCCTGCAAAAAGAGAGAAATATTGTCTTTGCTGCACGTGCTTTGGTCAGTCAGCTAAAACCAACCACATGGGAATTGTTTCTGTGCAAATTTGTTCTGCAGATAAACAAATTTGCTCTCTTCAGTGTAAAACAGTATCATACATTTCATAAAGTTTTCATAATAGATATACAATAATACAGACTTCATAATTTAGCAACTTGAAACAAGTTCTTACAGAGTTCAATATGCTGTAGCTAACACAAATATTCTCCAAGGGGCTTTTAAGAGAAGCATAGGGCACCTGCAAACTAGCTGGGGGAATAAACTGGCTAACATTATTAGGAAAACATTGAAGTAAGGCTGTTGCCAATTGGTGTTCCATTTGGAATCATCATTCTTCTAGTGATGGACTGAATTGGCTGTACAATGATTACAGTCAGATTCAGCAAAACTGGCTACCACCTACTTAAATGTAAATCTAATACAAGCAAAACCTACATTTCATGTACTTTACCAAAATGGGGCTATATGTAACAAAGGCATGAATGACATGATCATCAATGATTGTCACCCCTTTATTCAGGCTGATATATAAGAAGGCATCCTGGTTCTTTTACCAGTTTTTTTTTTAAATTAGATGAATCTGATATGACATACTGAACTTGCCAAACTTGCTTTTCACATAGTTACTAAGGGATGGAACCTTGCTTTGCTATGGTTGCAAGAGCAAAACCTTCAAGAAAATGTATACAAGTATAAGAGCTGGGCACTGTGTGCCTAGCCTATTGGAGTGAGGTCCTGCCCTCTGGCACTCCTAGGTAAGGATCCTGCCATGGTCGGCCTCAAGAGTTGGCTGAGGAAGGGATGTGCCTCGTCCTTTCCCTGGGGGAAGGAAAGCTGCTTTGCAACCATGGGGATGGGACTGTCATCAAATCAGTTCCACCTGGTTTCAGTTCTACCTGATTGCAAAGCTAGGTGTTGCTTAAGAAACTCTTCTAACTCGTGAATGAAGATGGTACTGCAGGCTTCAAATGCAAGGACCCATTTACATTAATTAAAATTAATGAATGCATTTTAAACCAATTAATATCAAGGAGTACATACTTTGGGTCTTTTAGTACGTATGCCAAGCTTAAGGTATCTAGATCTAACCATCTTGGCAACATAGTGCTGACTGATCTTACTACTATTACTATATTGTATTTTTATCCCACCTTTTTTCTTCTTAGAAGGAACCCCAGGTGGCTTGCATAGCCCCAATTTATCATCACAACAGCCCTGTGAGGTAGATTGGGCTGAGAATCTGTGACTGGCGCCAAGTCACCCAGTGAGCTTCATAGCCAAGTGGGAAGTAGAACCCAGGTCCCCAGTTCAGCATTCTAACCATCATGCCACCTTGGCTCTCTAAAAGATGTAGACAATCATCTTTTATTATTATAGATTCAAAATGCATGTACCCTTTCTTCCTACTGCAACTCAAGTAATGCCACCCCTTAATGCTTCACACTTGCCACGCATCATTACATTACAGGAGGGATGTGTCATTTGAGGCCCTCTGCCCATTTTTGAGATATTAAGTATTTGGATATATATTATATCAAACCAAGATCTTACACTTTTCAAAACACAATTACATTTTATAGAATATATTGGTGTTCATTTTCATCATACTTCAAAAAGTTTTATGCAATCTCAGTGGCACATAATAGCTAGTAGAGTGCCAAAGTTTTCATTTTTTAAGTGTGATCAATTAATAAATGTATGCTTATAGGTATTTTGTATGTAGGTTTTACAGGGGATAGCTGCTTGGATATAAGTCTCAAATAATCAGGTTGAAAGACTTCAGCCACTTTTTCTCAGAAAAATTCTTGGGGTCCCTCTGTGTATGACTAATGTGTTGTGCTTAGAAGTTGGATTAAACTCTGTAACGTGTAAAGCTTGAGCATCTACTCTCTCTAGATGGATTAAATTTTCTTTTAACGTGTTCGTGCTCTCTTTCACTACTGTTCTATGATCTGACAAGACTCTTATAGAAAAAGCTGGTTGAAGGCTGTAAACTGTACATTAACAGAAATGCTTCCTCCCCCCACTTGGGCAAGCAAAAGACAAATTAAATTATTTTGTTAAGGCTATATAACATTTGAAAAACAATCTTTTATATCCTTGGCAGTTAAATTTTGTTAATTTGTTTTCGCCACTCAGTTCCCAAGTGAGAGCAAAGCAGCTATTTAAAAATTTCATGTCTGTAAACCTTGGGTTGGATTTACACTGGGCCATATGAATGCTCTACCATCTGCCATGCTACAGAGGCAATTCAGTAAGGATTGTTCACTGCGACTGTGCTGTCACTGCAGTTCAGGGGATTTAAAGGTCTCTTATGAATGTTTCCTAATACAACAATTTCTATCAGGATATTAGGGATGAACCAATTTTGTCTTTATTATTTAAATTTCCTGGCAGAGGCAATCTGTTCTATGTATCTTAAGGTTTAGTGGACATAGAAACAGAGCGAGTCAAAAGTGGCCTCCCGGCCCATCTAGTCTCCGGCTCCCGGCTCCAGCCAGCTCCGCTCACGACATGCCCACCATGGGTATGTCCAGTTTATCTTTGAACATCATCACTGATGGGGCCTCAATGACCTCCTGTGGGAGCCCATTCCATACCCTCGGGGTCCTAACTGTCAGGAAGTGCTTCCTGGCATCTAAATGGAACCTTGGTTCCGACATCTTTCCTTTAGTTACTGAAAAAGTCACTAAGGGTTTTGTTAGTTGTTTTGTTCCACCTAAATTGAAAGGGTCAGTCAATCTGTTTTTGATTTGCTCAGCATTGGTGATACATTGGTCTGCATGTATATATACTCGAACTGTATCTACTTCATTGCTGTATATGTTTTTGTACATATAACTTGATGGTGGGCACGTCGTGAGCGGAGCCAGCTGGAACTGGGGGTTAGACTAGATGAGACCCCTTCTGACTTGTGCTGTTGCTCTGTTTCTATGTTTCTAATACCTTGCTTTTTCAACCTGGTCATGGGCTATCTGCAATAAACAGATTTAGATTTGGAGAAGGAACATTAACATGGGCTTTCTGCATGTGAAATTCATTTAATTTAATCACAACAATATAACAACACAAAGATAGCTGTGTACTTGCATAGATTAGAAATCAAAATGTGCTAAATTATTTTTTCTACAGTGAATTACTATTTACATATTTATTTAGTAGTAAAAATACTGAACAGAAACAAACTGCTAGAAAGGATATGGAAAAATAACTCCCCCACCCATTACATTTCTAAAAATAATGAAAACATGATATGCCTTATGTAGAACCATGGCCACAATGGAAACATTTCTGATCAGCCTGTTTAACCTAGTAAGGGTATAATCCAATGGGGATGCATGTAAACCTCTAAACACAGAGTGCAGGCAACCTATGCAAAGTGGTAGAAATATGGAGGACAGTGTGGCCTCTCTGTTCCTCCTGCTCTGCAAAACAGATAGAAGGCCGATTTTTTTTTGTGGTGGGGGGGAGGCAGCTATGGTGCCACCAGGGTATGTTTTATCTTGGTGGCACGGGCCTCTTCTCTCTGTGACCCCACATGAAACACCAACTGGACTCCTGACGTTGCTTTTGTTGACCAGTTGCAAAGGAGGAGGGGGATTCAAGCATGGATCCCCAGCTTCAAGTTCAGAGTGCTTTTATGACTTTGGAGCAGTAAATCCAAACAATGCTATGGCCATCAAGTTATTTTATAGGCACTATAGGATTGCTCTGTGAATTGACCTAAGTTAAAACAGATACATCAGTTAGTGGTGACACTTACTTAGGATAATAGCTTAAGCTAGAAATAGAGAATTGCACTGGATTCAAAGCTGCTCCATTCTCCAAGGAGTGCCTGATCTGCCAACATGATCTGCTAGCTAGTTCCTCCCATTGCATCTGCTGGAGAGGAGTATTGAATATTAAAAAAAAAATGTCAGACTGAAAAGTGAGAGCTGGCAGATGAGAAGGTGCAGCTTCATTCCTTCCCAACGCTTTTTAGGATTGCACTGCCATCCAAAAGACAGCCATGTCAACAGCACTGAATATCTGTGGAAGGGTGATTCTAAAAAGTATTTCATTTTCTTTAAACCCCTCTGGTTTACACATCTGAAATTCATGACTAATCTTCCCAATTAATCAATTACCACTGTATAACATTTTCTTCTTACATTTTATATGCTAATAATTACCATTTCAATCTTTTGCATTCAGATATTTTACTCTGAACTTTCCATTTTTAAATAGCATTCATTGTATAAATGAGCGCAATCTCAATAATTAAAATTCTATCATTACAGTGGCAAACAATAGCTTCCTGGCTATACTAAAAGTAATGGAGTGTAGGGTTGATACTATAAAATGTGTTTGTGGGTATTTATATCTGCTGACTGGGGCGTTGCTATATCCATTACAGATAGAACAAACAGGCTGCTATGATTTAATACGTTTTTTGTTAATTGCAGTGTTCATGCGTATAAGGACGTGCACATCTACTATGTTTCCTATGTTACTTTTGAGGAGGCTTTGCACTAGTCCCTTGCTAGTGAAACAGTTAATTTTTTCAAGAAATCCTCTGAACTGTTCTTTGTATATTGTATGGCAAAGACAAAAGGAACTGTCCCAAAAAAGTAATTTATATGCTTCCACTACTGATGCATTACAAATGCTTTCAAAAAATTAATATGTCTGCAATCTCTGATATTTTTTTCATATGCCCCCTGTGTGTGAGAGAGAGACAAAGCTTGTGTGCACATGTGTGTATGGAATGTCTATAAAAACTGCATTCCAGGAGCAACGATAAATGCAAACTAGCTTTAAGATAATAAATTTTATTTGGCCAAAGCTCACTCTCCCCACCCACCACTCTTTTGTATCTCTGTAATAGTGTTCTCTATTGACAGGTCCTTACTGTTGAAGTTCCATACTCCTTGATTGCCTGCAATACAAAGTTTTACAACTACAGCAGGTACAAGCCA